CATCCCCAAAATAGTCATAGTCTAATCTCGATCTTCCATCTCTCCAAAAAAAATTTGCCAAACGACCTTCTGCATCTAATCCTTACTGTGAAAGAATATATGGCCTTTAACTCGACATTGCTTAAAGTGTTTTATTACGCTTTGTGCATCTCCTCTTTGAATCAAACTTTTCTTTTTCTCATTAACAAAATTTTGACAATATCTTAAAGTGAACCCGACATTTTCAGATCCACCAACTTCCTTTGAAAGATGAGTAAGTTTTTGTCCCTTTTATATCAGCACCAACCATAGAATTTAGGACACTTGCACTAGCTGAATCTATGTTTCTGCTTATTCTTAAAAACTGTCTTTCTTCTTGATCAACAAAGTCATGGTTGTGTTCATCATTGATATAACTAATATCCCAAATTCCTTCTGCAATTACAAATTTAATTAGAGCTTTACAACCTGTTCGGGTCACTAGTCTTCTTATTTTTTTCGGATTAAAAGGATCACCATCACGATATTGTCCTGCATTTGCACATAAGAACTCCCGTTGTATAATAACTCCACCACTAGTATACCTAAAGTTTCCTTTTCGAACACCAAAACCCTTTCGCAGGGCATACTTACAATATAACCTATATGTTTCATCTTCACTTGAAACCCTCATTCCAATTTTAAGGTCATCAATATCATCATCCAAAGATTCTATTTAATAAATTAGGTATGATAACACACCTGTAAACCACATACATTATAAACCAACGAAAAATAATGTTATAAGCATAATACTTGTACTTTCTTTTTTCTTTATTATACACTAATTGTGAATTTGTTAAAATTATATGTCTAGGTTCTTACTGGTGCTTGAGGAGATGTATCGGATGAGAACAACAATGAGTTTTCTACTCCAGTGTTCTCGAAGTCTCAAAAGAAAAAAGCTTAAAAAGAAAAAAAGTTGGCTTCTATTCAATCAGAGTCAAAACCGCATTGAACTCCTATACTCTATTCTCTTAATCATTTATGCAAGGATAACAATCCAGAGATTGTCTGTTTAGTGGAGCCAATGGTTGAAGCTTCCAAAATCGAACCTTCTTTTTAGTGCTCATTGAATTTGAAGCCTCTTATTGTCAATGACAGGGGCTTCCAAAAAAGGAAAATGAGAAAAAAGATTGTTTCCAAAAAAGAAAAATGAGAAAAAGATTCGTCTTAAAGGAAGCGAGTCAGAGGTTTGGAGATAACATTGTTTTCAAAAAAGGAAAATGAGAAAAAGACGTGCAAATTGATTACAATTTACACAACAATCAACCATTTTAGTATCTATTTGTAGAAAATTGTAGGTGGTATAATCTTTTTGTTATTGTCAAATAATATAAAAAATATAAAGCATCATAACTTATTCGATTCAATAAGAAAATGGCACATAAAAAAGGGAATTGACTTACCTTTGCACTCAAGAAGATTAGTGGAAGCTTTAATATTCTTTGGAAAATTTGGTACAGTTTCGTGATTGAAGACTTATGGTAGAAAGAGACAGATGAAAATATAATTTGATCTTAAAGGAAGTGGGTCAGAGGTTTGGAGATAATATTGTTTTCAAAAAAGGAAAATGAGAAAAAGATGTGCAACAATTTAGGCGGGATTCTGGGAAAGAATAATTTGGGTTTGGCGGGATAAAAAAAATAAATTTTGATGATGTTAGTGTTTGTTGGAAAAGAAAGGAGACGAAGTTGACTTTTGATAGTTAACTTTATGTTAGGAGCTGACGTGGAAAGTTGGAAAAGTGTCATGCTTTTATTGGATGGGGATAACACGTTGGCATGCTGACAGGGTACCCTTGGGGTATCTAATATTCTCTCCATGTGGTTCACAGGGTGCCTTTAAGTTTCTGCTCTGTAATATTTCCAATTTTTTTTTTTTTTTTTTTTTTTTTTTTTTTTAAAAAAAAAACAACAATAAAATACATTTCCTAACTCTATTTTAACTTTTCATATTTTTAAATTTATGAAATTTTTTTTTATATATTTTTCACAATTCTTCACTCAACAAATGTGAACTTTGATTTTCAGTTTTAATTTTGAAATATTATTCTTTTATTATATTCCATTAGTAAAATTAAAAAATATATTTTATTATACTCTATTAGTAAAATAAAAAATTGGACTGAAAGCTGGTGCTTGGTATTGCCTGATAACATGGTGTGCTTAGTTTGCCAGATCATGTATGATTAGTTGCAATATGACAAAATTGTCAATCCGACTCATGCTCAATATAATATTAAATATATATAATATAAAAAATAAAATGTTGGTAATAACTTCACATAGTGGACCACGTGGCAACCAAATGTGCACAAAATGTTGATACTAGGAGGAATATTTTGCCATCCTTGATCGTACGGTTAAAGTAGTGTGGTCATCTTATAGAAATTAAGCTCACAAGTCTCTAGTGAATAAATTTGGAATTTGATTTTTTCAAAACTAAAAAATATATGAAAATGAAATTGTAGAAAAAAAAATATAGATCATTTTTGGAGTATTAAGAAAATGAACATTAATCAAATTAAAGGTGAATTTCAAGTGGAAACAGAAAAGTTGTATAATTAGATTTCATAATGTACCAAAAAAAAAAAAATTAGAAAATTCAGTCAAATAAAATGTATTTTCTTAGCTACTCTTGGAGTGAGGATAAGCTACTCTGTTCAATCAAGAAACAAATATCTTACGTAATGCAAATTAACATTGTTCTTATTCCAAATTACTCATTCTATGTAATTTAGCCTCCATGTTTTTACCCTCTTACCTTATTCCCGTCTAAATCTTATTAAGCATCCTCCAAAACCGTATAGGTCGAGGTGGGAATTCATGGAATGGGTCATCTTGCCATTTTTAATCATTTTGACTAGTGTTGTGATCATCTTATTTAATAAATTCCTAAAAACTAGGTAGACAACTGAAATCATTTGGAAATTTCTTTCCCAAAACTAAAAATACATAAGAATAATTTTTTTTTTTTTAAAAAAACAAAAAAACTCAAAGAGACTGCAAATGAATTTTAGAAAATTAAGAAAATGACCCTTAATCAAATTAATGGTTAAATTTTAAGCTGAAAAAGTAAAATAGTATGACTAAAATTCATAATGGAGCAAAAAATATATGGTTTTCAGTCAAATAACTGCAGTTACGGCTAGTGTTGAACCCAGTACAATGATTATGGACCAGGAGTGGCGATAACGAAATGGTGTGCAACTAAATGTTTAAGCCATGAAAATTTGGTTCAATGTTTTTGCATATTAGTATGGAAGCAGTAATCTAAGCAATTAATTACAAAAATATTCTTGTTTCTGAAATTACTCTGGGATATTTTGATCCAAACGGTAATCATGTTATTTCTTTGATTCCAAGAGAATTGAGCAGTAATTACTCTGGGAAGCCAAATGCGAACACACCACTAGTAAGGTGAAGCTCAGTTGCAATTGGCTTGGTTTTGATCCAAACGGTAATCATCCATTATCAGGTTCACTTAATCACTTGCATGACACAGAATAAAAGAGGAGGAAAAGAAAAAAAGAAAATGAAGGATGTGAGGACTCGAGATGGACTTAACTTTTGATAATTTACAAAATGACTGCTCTGCAACTCAAACAAACTCATCTAAAGAGGGTTGTATGTTGTACTTATATATGAAAGGCTATCTTTTATATACAGTTCATTTAGCTGATACCAAGAGACTTTCTATAGGAGACAAAAACTGTACTTGGTGTGCCTATCTGCTTTCTTTGGGCACATTTGAAAGAGGTTTGAGTGTTATAGAGCTTTCAACATGCTTATATATGTATATTTTAAGCATATGGAATATGGCTTTATGACAAGATTGTATATTTTACACATTGCTTATGTACAATATCTAACAGATCTCCATTGCTAAATTATGTTTGCACTTAATTATAATTGGAGATAATTTTCCAACAAATCTTTGTAAGCACAAGTAATATGCAGAAGAGATTCACTCCTGTGAGTCAAGAACAGCAGCAATTTGAAGGAAATTATTCAAAAACCAGCTTTCTAATAACTAGGCACTGTAAATCAATCAATTCACATATGAGAGGATCATAAGGTCTTTTTATTTTCTTTTATTATTACTATTATTATTATTTTTTTTTGGTGGGAAATCTTTGAACTTCAGCCTTTGATGAATGATGAAGATAGAAAATAACTATTGGAGATGGGTATTTTACCTACCCTGTTCAATCAAGAAACAAATATCTTATCCAATGCAAACCCTGTTCATCTTATTCCAAATTACTCATTCTATGTAATTTGCTGATTAGTATGGATACTTTAGCTACCCTGTTCAATCACTCATTAGGTGATAACAAGGAGCATCTAAACAGAAAGTGACAACAAAAAGGCTATAGGTCCACAAGGACTTGCTTCAGATATGGTTATATGCTGACCAGCATGCAGATTAATTTGTTAAAGTGCAAGATACAAACAAGTTAACCACCCAATTTATTAACATATTTATCATCGTGATCATCATGCTTGCCTTAATCCCATATGAATATTGGGCCGGCCACATGGATTCTCTCTCCAATTAACAAATCTACCAACATGCCCCATATCTAAAATCACAGAAGAGACCGCAACATGGTAAACCTAGTCAAAGATGAAGAGACCGCAACATGGTAAACCTAGTCAAAGACTCATCTTTTGAGCTCGAGACGTGAGACACAATGTGCACGTTTCTCCTTGAGTGCCTCTAACTTTGCTGATAGAGTTGCTGATAATGTCTCTAATATTATTGTTATTGCCTCTATCTCTTCATCTAGCTTAACAAGGGTGCTATGATTACCATCACTCTCTGAATCTTTGTCTTCATCTTTTTTCGTACTTTCCACACCGCAGTCTTCTTTAACCACCACATCAGAGTCATCAGGAATAGTCACAGATGACTTTATGGCCAATGAAGGTATACTTCCTAAGAAATATCAATGGAGTCAAGACATAATTCTGCATTACATAAATGGATGTATAAAGCAATTACTTCAATACTATATCCCTTAATTGCATAGAAATCTCTTAATTAAGTAACATAAAATTAATTCTAAAAATAGGACAGACAAAATTTTAGTATTTTTCTCTTCTTCTTTTTAAAATTTTTATTTTATAATTAAGTGTTTTCCCCCTTTCTTCATTGTATAAGCATGGTTCTCTTATGACTTTTTCTAATGTTCCCTTCAACATTTAAGACTTGAACATATTCTAAGAGCTCTTTCACTAATAGAAGGAACTCTAGATATTTTGTTGTCATAAATTCATGTCTGGGAGCAGGAAAATATGGATTACCTCTCCCTCGCAATGAAATAAAATGCATTTACTGTCAAAGTGACAATTTATTTCTCTTTTAATTCGGAGACAATTAGATAAAATCTTACATTTTTCTCACATTATTCAAATAAAAAATCTGTACGAATATAAAGTTCCAAGCAAAACACCTGTTTGAAGCTTAAACAAAAATTGCCAATTACCATTTTTTTTTTTTTTTTTTTGATAAGTCAACAATTGCCAATTATATTACAGAATTTCCTTCCTTTTTAACAGTTCCATTATCCCACCAATAAATCGAGGGGAGTACTGGTTTGGAATAAAAAAATTTAGAGGTTAATTATAAGTTATGGCAGTTATAATTATTATAGATTAATGCAAGAGCGCTAATCAGAGCCTTTACTACGAAAATTCTGTCTATTGTTCGGTAGAATCCACTAACTCTAAAATTCAAGAAGAAGAAACAAGTCACTTCTAAGAGAATATATACAATTTGATCATCATTCGAAGGCAACCTTCCAAATATTATGATTCTAGCAAATCAATACGAATTCCACTTGAAAGAAGAAGAACAATGTTTTATTTTATTTTCTTTTATTATTATTTTAACGCATATAGAATATGTATTTATTGATGAATGTATAAGTCTTGTCATTGGCCATTACAACTCCTGATGTAACTTTTGTTTGCCCTGGGCTGTGTTTTATCCCCTATAGGCCACCATGTTCATTCTTTCCTCTTCAATACACAAGCCTACCTTTTAAAAAAAAAAAACAAAACAAAACCCTCAAATATTAATAAGGTGTATTTTTTTTAAAAAAAATAATAATAAAATAAAAATAAACATAATGCATTCATTAATTACCAAATCTTGACAAAAATTTCTCCGCACTCCGAATTTTTTTAAAAATTATTCTGAAATATTATGAAGGACAAGAGAATACAACATGAAAGATTCAGAGAGGCGATAGAGTTACAAGTCAGGAGGTTGCCATAAGTTAAAATTAAATGCACAATCAATTATGATTTTCTTGTTATAATTCTTTTATTTTTTTGAAATTATTTATTTAATATAATGTCATAACACATGAAAACACCTGGAACATCAATTTATGCGAAATTATCATGTTAGATATTACTCACACTCCACATGCCCAACAACAAACATAATAACTTTTTTCTATTACAAGTGAGTATAAAATAACTTACCAATTTGATAGCCGTCAATGTAGTGCGGATGTCTCTCTTTTAAGTGTCCCTAATTTCTTTCGTAGTGAAACTACCTCTGCTTGAATCATTTTATGTTGTCTCTCTAGTTCGGTCTTTGCTTTTTTTGCCCTTGCACCACCCAGTATCGAACCAAAAATATCTGAAATAATCATATTATATATTAATCACACCACATGCCCAATAATAAAGATAGTAACTGTATCCTAATATATAATCTCAGTATAGAACAACATACCAGTCACAATTCTCGGTGGCTGTCTATCTATCTCCTTCTCAAGCTCAGTCAATTTTATTGTTAATGACTTTATTTTCATGATGACTGCATCCACTTTTGCTTGAAGCATTACAATCTCTTCTTTGAGTACCAAGGGCCACTCCCTCCCTAGTAAAGGAAGAATCTGGCAAGCAATCAAAATGTAAAGAGTCTGGCTCTAGTGCATTGTTAATGTAACCAAAAAATAAAAATAAAAATAAAAAATTTGCGTCCATTAGACACATGAAAACCATCCGTTGGTGTATGAATTTAATGAAATAAATTTATATAATGGGCTACTAATTAATGATTTTTCATTTACAACAAGCGTTTTTGGAGTATATAATCAGATGGAGAGGTTTTTACTCAACATAGAAAATTTTGTTAAGAGATATCATATCTAAATTTTGTTAAATATTTAATGGTCTATAAGTTGAGTAGCTTTTGTAAATCATTTTACATATTTGGCATATTACAATGCCAATGTAAATTTTTCAATATATTTATAAAAAAGGAAAAAGAAAACAAATTGTAGAACTGTTCAACAATTAAATCATGTAAAATTTTACTGGAAAAAATGGCAAAAGAAAAAACGGTAGAGCCAAGTCTTTTTAGGATTGGGATTTTGGAAAAGAAAAGTAAATTAAATGAAAGCTCATTTATGCGAATTTAGAAACTAAAAGAGGAGCAGAGCGATGTAGGACAAAAAAAGTTAAAAATATAAATACATTATATATTTATATGTATGTAACATGTGGAGACAATGCAAATAAATGCGAAATAAAGAAACAAAATTAGAGTACAAAAAATCAAATGAAATCAAATATTAAGTTATTTAGGTATCATATAATAGTTGAGAATTGGGACATACCTCATGGAACACGCAACCAGTATGAGCAACACAGTGACAATCTTCACAATAATAAGTTGGCTCTGGTAACTCTCTCATTTCCTCACAAACGTCACAGTAATATTCAGAGTCAAAGTCATTGTCTAAATGGTCTTTAATGAAAGAATATGTGAGGGTGAGAGAATGTCGATGATTGCTGTGTTTAAATGTATACGGTAATATTGAAAAACAACACAACTTAATACTGAAATCGCATGGCACACAACGAAAGAATGGAAAACTCGTAAAATTTTCACAAATGTTGCAATTAACTGAGCTATCCGTTTTTCTTTTTGTAAATGTAGGGTCGTTGAAGATAGCAAGAGGGTGCTTGTGAATTTCAAATTTGAGAGTGGAGTAGGTTAATGAAGCACATGTGACATCCATCTCAAAGTCACACTCGCCACACCGGTACTTGAAGCCCAAACCAGAACATTTACATGCCTTGCATCGGTAACTGACGGCGGAGGAATTTGACGAATTGACAGAGAAATTTTTGTAATGGAGCACGAGAGGATGTGGTGGATGAAAGGGGTGTTTGATTTGCCGTGGCAATTCAGCGCACGATTTGTGCAGTAAAAAATTGAAATAAAGACAAACATAGACTGTACCCTCGATGCAGAGCCCACAGGCTGAACATGAAAAACTAAAAATCCCTTTGGTATTATCACATGGAATCCAATCATCCGGGTGGGTGAACGATGCCTGAACAACCTGGTGGTTTTCTAAACTTTGATCATCATAGTTTTCTATTATGGCTTTTGGCATTAGAGAAGCGCACCTTACGTCCAGACGAAAGGGACACTCAGAACAGCTGTAGCAGAAGCGATCCTTAAAAGCTCCACAGGCTTCACATATAACACAAGAACTTGTGAAAGTGAGAGTATGATGATCAGGGTGCAAGTGATGTGTGATCTGCTGTGGGAGTTGTATACATGATTCATCCATGATAGCTCGGCAATCTAAACAAACATAGATAGTGCCCTTGATGTGTTGGTCGCACACAGAGCACAAAAAATCAAGCTGCTTGTTCTTTCTATAACAAGGAATCAGGGGATGCTCACTTCCCTTGTATACATGCCTTGTTTGTTGCTCACTTGCCTTGTAGTTGTTGGTGGTGGGCATCAGCGTAGCGCAATTAACGTGCAGGTTAAATTTACATTTAGAACAATGGAAAACGAAGCCGTCACATTCCATCCCGCAGACATCGCATGAAGCTGAATCAGTTGCTCGTTTATAAGGTGATTGAGGGAAAAGAGTGAGGGGATGTTCCCTGTGAAAGGGGTGCCGTATCTTTGGCGCCAATCCAACACATGATTTGCAAACGTAATGTTTGCATGGTGTGCAACCATAGAAATCAGCCGAGATTTTGTTTGTGCACCCATTGCAAGTCATTTGATCCCCTTCTTTACGCTTGTCTTGGTCGAGGATCAAGTAATGCGTATGGCTGAAATGGTCAATCTCCTTCTCCATCTCTGTTTCTTTGATTCGAAGAGAATTGAGTAGTAATTACTCTGGGAAGCCAACTCTGAACAGACTACTAGTAAGCTGAAGCCCAATTGCAATCGGAGACAGTACAATAATCTAAAGTATTGTGGATAAGCCTACCATGTGCTGTCACTTTTTTATTGGGCACTGGAATTACATCTATCATTTGGTCCACAGAGTGCCTTTAAGTTCCTCTTTGGTAATATTTCCAATTTTTGTTTTCCTTTTTTTAAAAACCACAATAAAAAAGAGACTTCAATTGCTTTTCTCCTTATTGAAATACTTTTTCTTTTTAAAGGTTTATTGAATTTCATAGTATTATTTTTTCTTTTCATTATTGTCACGCTAAAGATATTAAATTATTAATACAATGAGTAGAATAAGTGATAACTATTCAACAAATAGACGACATTATTATTTGATTATGATTCTTATGAATCTATTCAAATTGACTTAATATATTTTTGTGGTATATCAAAGGGTATAAATTTTTTATCTTAAAAAAGAAAAGAAAAGAATGGTTAACGACATGAGTCCTAAAAGTTAGGTTGCAATTTGAATTTGATGGAAGCAACACAAATAGTTCATTCCACGTCTTGATGAATATCAAGTTGAGCTCAGGTCCATTGAATTCAATGCCACAAAAATTAGTTGAGCAGTGCAAGGGTTAGGTTACAATTTGAATGAGCTCGGGTCCATTGAATTCAATGCCACAAAAATTAGTTGGGCAGTGCAAGGGTTAGGTTACAATTTGAAAGCAATGTAGGGTTAGGCTACAATTTCAATAGGGTTCATTGTATGTCTTAACGAATATGACGTCTAATCAAGTTGAGCTGGGGTCCATTAACAACCTTATTTTGCTTTTTAATTAACTCTTAAAATAAATTCAATGTCTCAAAAAATTATTGTTGTGGTTTAACAAAAGTGTGTAAATTCTTATTGATAAATAAATAAATAAATATAAGTGGTACGCACCTTACTTCATATGCACCTTTTAAGGGATGTGCCTTATAAAATGAATAAGTATTACAAATTATATGATTCAGCAAATAGAAAAGAAAAAAAAAACAAAAAAAAAAAGGAAGATAAATATTGATTAGAAATGTCACATTACGCTATCAAAAGCCAGTCTTTACGTTTTGACCAAATTATATCCAACCCCAGATAAGAACCTCTCTATTGGAATAAGAACTTTTTAAGGATTATACAGCTAATTTGGTATAAAAACTTTAGAGTAGATTACACGTTTTGATTTTTCATCCTCAAATTGGTTAATTTAAGGGAGAATTCATGACAGAAAATTTCTACAACATACTAGGAGAGACTCGGAGTCTACACTTTGGCTTTGGAAAAAAAAAAAACCACTAATAATATTTGTGTTGTTCAAATATATATATATAGAAAATAATTTTTGCAGTGAATTGCTAGGCTTATACTTTTAATTGGCCAATTATATAATAAATAAGGAAGTGAAACCCTCCATTTAGTTGTATTTGATATAAATAGTTAATTAAAAAAATTTTGATTACGTAATTCACTACAAGTGTTCAGGGTAAGTATCACTAATTTTTATATATTTTAACAATCGCGGATATTCAATGTGTTTGGATAGGCTACAAGTGGCGGGGATAACAAACTATTGCGTGCTACTCCTGACAGCTCTTCTAGTCCGTGGTGGAGAAGGTAAGAGAGATGATGGAGAAGGCAAGAGAAGTTCATACATTGATCAATGACTCTACAAGTGTTAGGTCTTTTCAGATTTCTATGTCATAATATTATAAAATATGTATGAAAAAATAAATTTGACATTTATATAGGTATACGTTGTGTGAGTTGGAAAATGGTTGTGAAATATAATTTGAATATGGTTGTGGAATATAATTTGGATAAATTAACAATTTAGATGGGTGAATTGACTTAACTTACTTTTAATGTAATTTTTGTTTAAATTAAATTTACAGAAACAAAAGTAAATCAATCAAACTCACAAAGTAAAAATAAATGTAAGTAAAATTACAGTGACACCGGATTTTAGTAAAGAAACGAATTAGAAAATCTCGAGGATTTTTCTGATGTCTCGAGTATAAACGATCCACTATATTTGAAGCAAAATACAAAAATTTTGACTCGAGCTCACACCTCTTCACTCAGTTTTTGTACTCAGGCTCACACCTCTTCACTCAACCAAGATCCAACTCGCTGAACACCCCCGACTTTGCGACTCCCACGTCCATCAGCTCTCGACCTCACATTTACTCCTTGAACCTTGTAGAAGGATTACTGGTAGATCAACAATAATCTATGAATGCATTGATCCTTTCAAAGTGTGATCGCCCTTCAAATCAGATTATGCTCTAGAAGGTGTGAAATATGAATTTGTAATTTGGCAAATTTTGTTGTCAAAACGAATTTGGTAAATTTTTGGTTCATTTTGTCAAGACTAAAGATCAGAAACGGAATTGAAGAAGTAATTGTATTCATATCCATGACGATGAGAACAACATATTAGAAAGTCATTTGATCAAATTACAAATTTTGTTGTCAAAACAAATCCGGTAAATCTTTGGTTCATTTTGTCAAGACTAAAGATCGGAAACGGAATTGAAAAAGTAATTGTGTTCATATCCACGACGATGAGAACAACATATTAGAAAGTCATTTGATCCTCTTCTTTGCCAATGGCTGAAATGTACAATCTGCTTCTCCATCTCTGTTTCTTTGATTCGAAGAGAATTGAGTAGTAATTAGTAGTCTGGGAAGGGAACTCTGAACAGACCACTAGTAAGCTGAAGTCCAATTGCAATTGGAGACATACAATAATCTAAAGTATTGTGGATAAGGCTACTACATGCTGTCACTTTTTTATTATCAGGTTCACTTGCATGACACAGAATAAAACAGGAGGTAAAGATAGAAGGGATATTTGTTTCACTTTTTCACCTTTTAAAAATTTTCTTCCCAAGTAAGGTGATGCTCATCAATGAAGAGGTTAGTTCCCATATATGCTTTTTGTAAATAGACTAATATGACCCCTATGGTATTCTTTTTTTATGATATATATCATAACAAACAGAATATTACCCATTTAGTAGAAAATTTAGAAAGAAATGGGATTAAAACTGTGAATTTTTCTTACAAATTAAAATCATTGGACATCTTTTCATACTTCTAGAGCTCCAAGTCCATAGGTGCTCTGAATTCCTCTGTAAGCTTAAAAAGGAATATGGTTGGTTCCTTGACCTAATAAATATGATGATCATTCAATCAAATTAATTAGGAATAACATAACAACACTTGATTTGTCGTGGTTGGTTAAATAGGAAAGGTTAACTCTTATCCTCCTAAGAAAGCCAATATTTCATTATAGAATATTTGTTTTAAATAGTTGGGTGGTGCTACAGAAAATTGGTACGAGAAAGAAAAAAAAAAAAACTATCAAGTTGTATCCAAAGCATATTTATGTGCACCATTAAAGTCTATAATATTCATGGACTAGTCTTTTTTCTTTTTTTTTTTTCGTTAGAATTAGTTTCCCCGTCTTCTCTCCTTTTGAATTGGTTTTTTGTTAACGCCTCTAGAATAGGAGTTCGTTTTGCAAAAACTGTACCTTCTTATTATATTTAAGAGTTTGTTGTGAATGAAGAAATCTACCTTTGAAGTATCTTGTTAGCTTAACAAATTGTTTTTCCCATCTCACTTCCCCTTTTTGTTTCCCTAACATAAAACTGTTGTCCAGTCCCGAGGGATGCAACAAGTGGGCAATTCAGGTTTATTCTCATCCCTCTGAAACATTTGTGCATGGTTGGTTGAAACTACAGTCAATGTTATCAATAGCATTAACAAATATATATAAGGATAAGGTGATAACACACACACACACACACACACACATATATACATATACTCATGATCTCTTGCTTTTCGTGTAGTAAGAAAATTAATCCACACTTTTTATATGTCTGACGGTCATTTTTCAAACCCACCTATATCCCTTCATTTTAACACAAAATCACTATTTTTAATTTTCATATTTAATTTTATCATTACCACCTAGTGTTACCAAAATAAAAATAAAAAAATCTTTGCTATTGCATTATCGAATTTTTATATCTTTGAACACTAGTGTCGGCAAATTCAACAAGAGAATTTGTACCAAACGCAACTCCTTAAAATCTTGTTGAACTAGTTTGAGAACACCGAGATATCTTAAAATTGAAATAGAAAGAAATTTTGTACAAACTTTAAATGAAAGTTTCTCCAATTTCAATTCCAATGTATCAATTTGTATATTTGCTCATAATATTTATTTGAATTTTAATATGTGCAAATACAAAAAAGATCACATACTATTGAACATTGAGATATATAGTAAGTATGACAACAAGATGTTTCTTAGGGAAACGCTCTAATATCATACTATTGCATTCTGCTTAAGTTTGATTGCAAAATTAAAAGATACTGGTAATAAACAGATATTATTTTTGTTTCAAAAAAACATTTAAAGAAAAATAAATTTTAGTAATATATACCTTTCATTGCTATATATGTTGTAATAGTAAAATTAAATATGGAAATTAAAAATAAGATGAGAGTAGTTTTGTGTTAAAAGGAAATGATATGGGTTGGTTTAAAAAATGATCATTAGATTAAATCTAACTGTTCATACAAAAAGTGTAGATTAATTTTCTTAGGGGAGTAATAGATCAGGACTCATGGTATACCTTAGTAAGACATAAATAAAGAGTTCATATAAATTACATATTTACGCATAATATGGGTGATCTAATATTACACTCCTTGATCGAAAAAAATCAGATAAAATCTATATATAGCATTGGTCCCCACTCTCAATACGGTTAGTCTAGCCCCATTGTCCAAACTTTTGAGCAAGCTTGAGATCACACAAATAATCTGAATACTGAAGAACAAAGCACGTCAAGGCAGAGCAACATTGCATTCTAAACCTTGAAGTAAAGGTCTTAACAAATTCGTTAGAAAGGTGGGATAGATCGACCAAAGGGAACATCTATATTATTGATGCATGACCATGCTAATGCATGTAAATGCAATTA